CAATCGCTTCTTGAATCGGGTCCATGGTTGTGGAGTTATGACGCGTTGAAGTTGGGACGACGCGCAATGTTGGGATGGTGGGGTGGCTCGTTACGCGACCTGGCTCGTCACGCGGCCATTTAGTGTAGACGCCGCCCGCAGCCTGGATCACAAACAAGACCTGGGGATGATCGCGTCTCCCTTGCACTATTGATGAAGCGAGCACACCAGTAAAACGAGTTCCTCTGAACTGTCTTCTTCCTTTGGGCTTCTTTTCTTGCTCCATCTTCCAAATATACCTATGGCACACCAGTTCGTTCTTGGCAGACCTTCAGCGGAGCATCTTGTCGAAGAATTGACCACCTACGTATCACATGCTTGAAACCTTACGAGATCCTTCTCTATGAACGGCCAAGACACAAAGTATGTGGTGCATGGTGCGGTCATTACTGTTTTCAACTAACATCCGCTCTAGTGCTTTGGTGCCTAAAGCTCTTGAGCCACCGATATCGACTGCTGGCCTTTCAACAATCAAAGCTCTCGACTCGAGCAGCGATGGAGCATCGAAGTTCGCAACGGCTTTCCGAGAGGAAATATCATCGAATCACAAAGAGTCATTCGATCGTCTGGCCCTTGAGCTGAAAACACCTAGACTCAACAAAGTTCACCATCACTTATGGCTCGCAGGCCGCCCAACGGCTGCACGACCTTTGCAGCGGCAAAAGCTGCTAGGACGTAGTATCCTCGTAACAGAGAGCCCCGACGAACATCTCGTGTGGTTCGAAGACTGTATCTTCATCAAGCCGTTGCCCGGTTTCCTTCTAGACTGGGACTCGTGGAACAACCACCTGTGTCCGGACCGAGAATTGTATGAAGCTGCATGCGGCCTTCTGCTGTCATATGCATGGCTCGTACGGCATAAAAGCGACCTCAACGCTGCAAAAGAAGCGGGACTGCTAGCAAAAGAGATAGAGTGGCTCGACTGGGTCGAATTCATCGATGCTTTTCTGACCAAGATCGATTGCGAAACTCTAAGGGGTGTCAACAAACGATACGAATATGGTGAGCTACGTTTAAGCCGTCTCAACGCCATATATAGACTTCTTCCGCCCACATATTCTTTTCGAAACTTCACTCGAGGTTTTCAAAGCCGATCGACATGGTATCAAGCTTTCTTTAACCGTCATTTCAAGTGGATGCTAGCTGTATTTGCTGTTATTTCAGTCATTTTATCAGCATTGCAGGTCGGGCTTGGTACGACAGAGCTGCAAGGCAACAGAGCTTTCGAGCGTTTCTCATACGGGTTCGCTGTAACATCCTTGGTCGCTGTAGCGGTAGCACTGGCTGCTGTTACCTTTGTATGGCTTGTTTTATTCGTGTATCACTTGTCGATGACACGGAGGAATGATAGAGCAGTACGGCATGAAAGATTAGTCGCTAGGCCTGCTTGAATGACATCTCGAAGTAGTGTCGTGCTTCATAGATAAGCCACACACATTGCTAAAACATGACTTGAGTCACGACGATCTAGAACAATCTAGCACTAAGCGTGACTATGAACTACAGCCACTCGGTTGTAACCTGCATAAGCTCCATCTCCGCGTAACCTAATTTGTGTCCCCGCATGGAGCTAAACATGAGCTGAAAATAAGCAAGAGCTTAATTTGCATTGAGCTAAGCTAAGCTGAACTGGTTCGTGTATATCTTTCCAGCATAAGATGAACTTACGTCTTTCCTAGCGAGCTGAACATCTCAGAACATCTGACGATAATCAACACTATACATCACACAACGTACGCCTCGATGGTCTCTAGAAAGAAGGGGCCTGTATTTCGGGTCACAGGACTCTCAGTATCACAGTGCGACGATGAACTGAGAACAACACTCGAGGCTACTATCAAGCAAGAACTCTTGCCTGATGAGAAGCCAACGCTTGGCTTTAGCACGACTATCGTACCATCTTGCTACGACAATGAAAACAAGAGGGTTGCCCTGGTGAACTTTCATGACAAGGTTCCTGTATTTCTGCTCGAGCTGGTGACGAACCCTTCAGAAATCTGGCAAATCGAGATGGGCGACACGGATATCACCTTCGACTGTCACTTCAGGGGGATGACGCAACTGTATACACCAAAGCTCGAAACGCCAGTCACCGCAGAGTATGTAGCAGCTCGGAACCACCGCTATTCTTCCTTGAATCATACCGCTAAGATATTGCATCTAGTATAGTCGCTATCACCGGCCTCGATCAGAGTTGCTATCAGTCAATCAGTCAGTTGTCAGTTCATCTTTGCGGTTCAAACTGTCAGTCTGGAGGTAGTGAACTGACCTGATTGACTGCCAAGACATTTTTTAGAATCGCGAACTGAGAC